ATGGGTACTTTCTCAACTTCACCTTACCGGTCCTCCCAGCATTATTTGACTCTGGTAAAACTCTTTTCTTGAAATTCTCCCAGGCTTTTCTGATATCTCTGGTTCTCCTTGCTACCCTTTGACCACACCTTCTCAGGAAAAATCACTAGTACTTCCTTCTTTTGGCTAATCTTTTAATACTGACACTCTTCAACCTAAAGCTGGTCACTCTATATGCTTGTCAGAATAAGCTCATTTATTCCCATGCTTTCAACTGTCTCCTACATGCTTATATGATGATGCCTAAATCTTTAACTCCATCCTGTCAGCAATCTTGAGCTTCTTGAACTCTATACATTTCTACTGGATGTCTCATAGGCACCTCATCTCGGTTTTAATATGTCCAAAACTAAATTCATGCTGGAATTTCCTCCCACAATCTTGTTTGGTCTCCTCTACTTGTTTCTCCAAACAAGTACCTTTTAGCTTGGGCGATAGTTTACCAAGCTAGAAATCTTAGAAGTCACATTACTATACTTTTTTCTCCTTTAGTACCCACATCTAGTGAATCATTGAGACTTCTTTCTTAATCCTCATCAGATCCATTGTATACTCCCTATTCCTTCTGTCTTAGTTCACTTTAGGCCCTCGATATCTCACTTCTTATATTTCAATAGCTTCCCAAATTCCATCCTTCACACTGCCATCAGAATCAACTTTCTCAAACACAAATGACTATGTGTAAAATCACTGTTTACCTTCTTTTAAAAAATTACTTATCAATTTTTTGTAGAAATAGTGTCTTGTTATGTTGCTAGTCTCGAACTCCTGGCCTCAAGCGATCTTCTTGCCTCCACCTCCCAAAATGCTGGGATTACAGGCATGAGCCACTGTACCCAGCCTGTTTACCTCTCTTAAAACATTCAGGAGCTCTCCAGAGACCCTGAGCAGTGATTCTCAACTTTTCTACCAGAACCTATGGAAAGCTCACAATCAATCTCAAAAAGCAGGTGGAAGGGAGGTGGAGGCAGACACTGCTTGAATTTTAGGCCAGTATGTTTATTTTCTTAACTCCTCCTTATGTTCCCTCTGACTCTAACAGTTGCAGTGCAGAACTATCCAGAATTGTTATTATTGGTCTATAGAATAAAATCTAAACAGAGACTAGATATAAGAACCTTCACAATCTGACCTCTACCTTTCCTAGCATCGCCTTTAGCCTTTACCTTATATTAGCTCACTGGTTTTCAAAGTATGGTTGAGGAACTCCTCACCCCCACCCCCAGACCATTTCGGGGAATCTGTGCAAGTAAAACCTAGGTCTGTCAGACATGAATGTGCACTACCTTACTTTCTACATTTACTTGTCATGATCATAGTCTTGTCATTTTGTAAAGACTAAAAGTTGAGATAGGTGAGATCAAGTTCTACATCTGCCACAAACTGGCTGTTTGTTAATTTGTTTATTAGCAAAGTTAGCATGTTTTCAACATGGAACTAGGGGCAATAGTTTTACACAATCTTTAAGAGGATGGGGTCACAATAGGCCAAGGCCAGGAATAAACAACTCATAGAATAAATAGTTAATGACAGGTGGAAAAATTTCTATCCTCAATAGTAATCGAGAAATTCAAATTAAAACAAGATACCAGCTGGGCACTGTGGCTCACACCTGTAATCC